AAGCGGGACTGGCCTAGGGGATTTTATAGGGGTTTTAATTACTTTTAAATTTGACATTCTCAAATATTTCATTTTAATCAAATTTTAACTAGGTGTAATATGTTAGCTTTTTATCATTTGTCAGCCGCCCTGAGTCCGAAAGGAGAAGGGCGGGATATAAATACAATTAATAAATAAATAAATAAATAAATAAATAAATTAATTTCAGGGATAAAATGTAAATGTTTATTTTTTTTCACGGGAATTTCATATTTTCTGTGGTGTGGGGTAGGGAAGTATCTTTAAAATTTTCATCTAATATGGGCAAAGATAAATGGGAAATTTTAAAAATCTGTCAAACATCATAGTTAATAGTTTTATGATTGAGTACAAGATAGCATGGTATGAAAAAGGCTGGTGATCAAGCTTGAATAAATCAGTTTCTGATTATTTTGTCTCAATTGTCTCAGCATTCAGTCTAAATGAAATGCTGGAAAGATTCTCTTGAGGTAACACTTAAATGTTGTCTACTTAGAGCAGACATGTCAAGCACAAGGCCCGGGGGCCGGATGTGGCCCGTGAACTGGTTTCATGTGGCCCGCGAAGCCATCCTGGAAACAGTGAGGGAACAGCCCCCACTGCCTTGGCCCTGGCCCAGGCCGGCCGGGAGCCAATGTACAATTTTGTGGTGGCCATCTATGCTGAAACGCATTCAGTCTTAGCTCCACAAGGCCGTCTAGAAACAGCGAGGAACCAGCCCCTGCCACGTCGGCCCCGCCCCTGGGTGCATGCTGGGGAGGTGTCACCCTTTGTGAGGAATGAAGAAATGGACTATGCCTTGGCGCTTGCCCCGGTCCCACCCCCTTCTGCCAGGGACCCTCAGATCTGTCCCGCTCCTGCCCAGGCCCCCACAGGCACCCTTGACGCGAACAATGTAGAGCTGGCCATGCCCACCCAGTAGGCCACACCCATTCCATCCACGCCCACCCAGTAGGCCGTACCCACCCTGGCCACACACACCCCGCCCCCCCGAGGACAACCGCAATGCTGATGCGGCCCTCAATGAAATTGAGTTTGACAGCCCTGACTTAGAGGGATAGGAATACTGTAGGAATTGGGGAGTGGGCATCATACTTGAATACTGTTAGAATCTCATAAATGAAATTGAGATGTTATGTGAAGTTTAATGGTGGGAATTGCAGAACTAAACATGTTTATAAAGTGCTGGTCCTTGCTGTGATATGATGACTCCTTGTGTTTCTCTTCCTAGCCTTTGCCCGATCATGCTGATGTGGCCAGCTGTGGCAGCCCCTTCCAGATAGCGCCTGGTAAGAACATCTGGCTGGACTTACACCCTTTGTGCCTATATTATCTCTTGTCCTCTTTTTCTTATGTTTTCTGGTCAAAATACACTGATCATTTTTAATCAGTGATCACTATGATAAAAGCTGGAAGAATGTTCAATAATAACAGGAACTACTATTTTCAGGCAATCTGTAGAGGAGGGGAAAGTTTTAAAAGTTTAATAACTTTTAAAAGGTAGGTTTCTTATTTCTGTATGTTTGTACTGGAGGTTCTCCATACTTTCATGTTGCAGTATCCATATAAGCTGTTTCCTATGGTAAATGTATGGTCTTGAATAAATAGCTCACATAAAAATTTTAGGATGTATAAAACTGACTCTAGCAAAAAAGTAAAAATCTATTGTGATGAATAATAAAGGTATAGCAATAATATAGCAAGCTTAATACATAAATAGAACAATTTTAGCATGCAGTGTAAGAAATTCAAGGTGAATAATTTAAAGCATATATTCTGAAATTTAAAATTAATATGCTACCAATGTTGACTCTTATTACAAATAGAATATTGGAACATAATATTATTTATAACTAATATTATCATTTACCATATTTTAAGCTATATACTATGCNTATAGCAAGCTTAATACATAAATAGAACAATTTTAGCATGCAGTGTAAGAAATTCAAGGTGAATAATTTAAAGCATATATTCTGAAATTTAAAATTAATATGCTACCAATGTTGACTCTTATTACAAATAGAATATTGGAACATAATATTATTTATAACTAATATTATCATTTACCATATTTTAAGCTATATACTATGCTACTGGATTCCTAAATGGCCCTTAAAATAAAGCAACCTTTGTCTCTGAAATTGACTCCTGAATAAAATAGCTTTTATTTTTAAAAGAAGGACTTTTATTTGCTGTACAATTTCTTTTTTTGTTGTTGTGCCCAATTTGTCTTAGGCACATTTTATGCAAGAGAGAAAGAAAATGCGCTCTCCCAAAATGAATTATTCTTGTAATTTTTCTGATCATCTTGTGACTATATTATATGATTATTATCATATATTGTACAGCAATTTGCCTTAAAACTCCATTATATTGTAAACATTTGGAATTGGAATAGTTTCTATATAAATGTTTTAATGCACTGGCTGAAAGTATTGTTTAAGGTAAACTATGTAATGTAATATATTCCATAATTTCTAATTTTCTCATTAGCAAGTTTCTGGATAGTTTATAAAAACATAAAATTTGGCTTTAAACCTGTTCGCTTACTTATTGTACAGATTATTACTGGTCTGTCAGAATTTGAATCTACTTCAAGGATCTTGTTTCTACAAAAGGTTACTTTTCAAGTTAAGAAAAACTAAAGGAATACATAGTAAAGGCTTATCTCAGGAAAATATATTTGTCTTAAGAGTTCTATAATATCTGTTGCTTACGTTACTCTAGTCCAGTGATGGCGAACCTTTTAGAGACCGAGTGCCCAAACTGCAACCCAAAACCCACTTATGCATCGTTGGGTGCCGGGTGGGTGTGGCCCATTGGCTGGGTGTGGCCCATTGGGTAGGTGTGGCCCATTGGGTGGGCGTGGCTGCGGTGGTAACGGCAGACTGGGTGAGACTAAAAAGTTCAATCAATCAATTCCAACTTTGCAAGATCTTTTTTTTTCCCCGCGAGAAGTTGAAATTGGCTGATTGATTGAACCTTTTTTTTTTTTTGCACACAGCGGCAGAGGCCTAAAGCGAAAAGGTTTTATAAAACCCAGCTGAAGGCCTAGGACTGGGGCGACAGCGCGCGTGCCCACAGAGAGGGCTCTGAGTGCCGCCTCTGGCACCCATGCCATAGGTTCGCCACCACTGCTCTAGTCTATATTAACTATGATGTTAAAGCTGAAATTGGTTATTTAATATGGCTATCATTCTGTTGGGCTTAAAGATAATGACTCTTCTCCCTTCTGTCTTGTCTAAAATCTTAATTTTATGTTTTGCAATCTTATCTGGTGTCCGCTATTGATGTCTTTTACTTACACTATAGATTAGTTCCCTTAATTGCATGTCCAAACAAATATTTTTACTTGTGGGTGGTGGTTTTTGGCTCAAATAATCTTACTGATTTTTTTTGCTATTTTGACAACGCCAATGTCATACATATGAAAAATAGGCAACTCGTAAGAGTTTCTTCTGTGTATTTACTTCATAGCTGCATGTATTTTTAACTTGGTACTTCACTCATTTGATGATTTTCACGAGTCATTCTGTTTTTGCAGTTACATAGGGTGTTGGGCAAAGGACTCTTAATAGAATTAAAATAGTATGTATTGTGCCTTTCTTTTCTAAAGATATGATTAGGAAGGAAGTAGCTGCATTATAGTGGTGTACAATGTCCAGTAATATGGAGAAATTGTATTTTTCCATAAAGATGGAAGAGAACAATGGAAAACAGCCCTATATCCTCAGGGATGTTAAACATTTGAAAACAGGAAGTTTTTAAATAAACCAAAATTATGTTCTCAATTGTTCAATTAGTTGTTCTCATTTTTTTAGTTTCTCCAGTAGAAAGAAAGAAAAGTGACAGTGTCTATTTTTTAACTACACCCAACTATAAATGGAATTCGACAATGTTTATTTGTGTCAGAAGCATCACAATTAACATAAGGCATACTATATGACATAAAATTTTAAATATACAAGATTAAAATATGTACAAGTTAAACAGATCCTGCCTAGAAATTAGCAACATTAATTGCGTTCTGTGGTGCTTCTATGAGGTCCTCAAGTGTACACTGATCAGGGCACAAAAGACAGGTTTTGTGTTGTCTGCATGTCACCAGAATTGCAAAGGGCAGAAGCCACCAGTTGGCCCCATTTGTTCAGAATATCTCTGGATCTTGTTACACCTGTGCGCTGTCGATTCAGCGTTTTCCATGCTTCCCAGCTTTTGCCAGACCCAGGTGCCAGCTCCTCCATTGGATCCATCCAGTGTTGATTCTTTGTAGCTTTCCATAGGTCCTCTCTGCTTTTACATTCTTTGAAGTCTTCCATCAACCTAAGGAAGCTTTTTTAAAATGTTAATCTCTGATGAGCTGATTGCAGGCCATAGAGAAGGTGTTGTCTAGATATAGATGATTTAAACCTCTCTCTCTGTATGCTGCTGCTTCTCTATGAACATGCGATTTTCTCCAAGAAGCATTATTCTTTTGATTCATAAATATCTCCTTTCCAGCATAGTAAGAAATAATCACATCTTTAATTCAGAGACCTCTTATTTATCTGCCATTATCGTAAAGGACTAGAAAGAACAAATTGTGAATATTTGGCTGGAGATTTAAGTTAAACATTTTAATGGAGGTGGAGAAGAGTTATTAAATTTAGGTCATCATGAGTTAATATAGCAGGCAGATCTTTATTCTACAGTTGCTGTTAAAATATTTAAAATGTTGAGTAGGCTGACAGGTGTTCCAACTTCATGTGAGGAATCCAGTATCTTTTTGTTAAATCACATGTCATAGATTAGAATATTTAACTAAGCTGATCTGGATGACAGCTGCGTCTCTCAACTTAAATTTCCTCTCTCGTGTTATTCTTTACAGAGGGGACTTCATGGAGGGACCTAGCTCCCTGTCCAAAGATCCATCTCCAAGACAACACAGTTTCTTACCAACAGTCCAGCCTAAGCCTTCCCTTGCCAACTTGCAGCCCAGAGAACAGTCCTCTGAACAATCTTGCATCCCAAGCATTGGCCACCAACTCTTTGGTTTCAGAAAAGGTTTCTGTGCCCCCTACCAAAAGACACTGTCGTTCCCTCTCAGTGCCCGAAGACCTTTCCCGCTGGCAAGCTGTTTGGAGACCCCTGGGCTCCAAAGTGTGGACACATATCAAACGCCGGGAGACCAGTGGCGTGGACACTTTAGCAGTACAATCCCAGAACCTGGTTCAGGAAGCCAACAGACTTTGCTTCAATCCAGTCCCCAGTGCCTCTTATCAGTGTGTTCAAGATGGTGCTGTTGGTGGCAGGAGTCCACCATTTTTCAGTCTGGCTCTGTCTCGAGAATCGCCAGCAAGTGTACCGTGGGAGACCGGAGAGACTTTGCAGCCCTACCCTCTGCAACGCCGTTTCTCTCTGTCGCCTGTCAGATTCTTGCCATCCCCCCAGAGCTCCACCACTTCCACACCAGAGCTACTTCGGCACCAGCACAGCCTCCCTCGCAGCCGCTCACAGCCTTGTGACTTGGACACCAGGAAATGCGGTCTCAAGCGGCGCCATGAAGATGATGTGAGGTGGCATAGACCCTCACTTGATTTCTACAAGATGAATCAGGTAAGAAGGGAAGCACCATCTACTTGGCGTCAGAGTCATGTTGATCGAAACCTCCCTGTAAAATCAGTGAAAAATTGAAGTAAAAAGGAAGTGAAAAACTGAAAAACCACTGAAACAAAACTGGATTTTTCCATGCAGCAAAACACATGACATTCAATGATTTTATGGTGCTAAGCAATCTGGTTAAAATGAGTACAGTACACTGTGGAAAACTGGGGATTATCTACAGGGAGTCCTCGATTTATAACTGTAATTGAGCCTGCAAATACAGTTGCAAATTTATGCCAGTCATTAAGTCGGATCATCACGTGACCAACCTAATTTTATAATATTTTTTGCAGTGGTGGTTAAGTGAATCGCCATAGAAGTTAAGTGAATCCATTGTCTGCAATGGGTATTGTTTGCTGGAAAGCAGAAATAAAGGCTGGTTTCCAGCATAAAACACTGTAAATTGCAGTCACATAACCCTGGGATGCTGCAGACCACCATACATGTGGGCCAGTTGCCAAGCCCAAAATGTGACCATGAGAAGGAGCTGGGCTGTCTTCAAATCTGGACCATAAGGGAGGGGTTCATCGTAATTTCGAAGAGCCACTAAACAACCATTTTTAAGTTGAGGACTACCTGTGTATGACACCAACAAAATTCAACTTACCGTTTGAAGATATGACAGTGCTGAAAAAAGTGACTTATGACTAGTCCTTGCAATTATGACTGCGACAGCATCCCTGTAGTCAAGTGGTCATGATTTGGCCATTTGGCAACCCTCACACATTTACAACTTGTTGCAACATCCTGCAGTCATTTGCCATTTGTGACCTTCCCAACCAATCAATACGGAAGCTGACAGGGAAGGTCACAAGTTGCAGTCATGTGACGTCAGGGCAAAAAAGGTAAAATCGTGTTCAGTCACGTGATGTCTCACTTAAGGATTGCACCACTTAGCTAATTTTTTTGGTCTCTATTGTGGTTGTAAATTGAGGACTTTGCTCCAGGTATATTTATTAGAAATGTCAGATCTGATCCTATACAACTAGTGGTATGGGTACCACCTATGGTACATTGGCACCTGGCAGGTGGTACGCGACCATCCTAGAAAAGTGGTAGCGGAGGAGAGGAATGAGCTGAACCGGTGGCAGCACTGCACAAGCCTGAGCGAGAGATGGCTGGAGCTGCAAGGCTGTCAGGGCTCAGCGGAAGCGCCAGGATTAGTGCCGCTTTCCAGCTGATTGGCGCTTTGGGGCTGTCAGGGCTCAGTGGAAGTGCTAGGATCAGAGCCAGGCTCCAGCTGGAGCTCGGCGTTGATCCTGGCACTTCTGCTGAGCCCAGAAGAAGCGCCGATCAGCTGAAATGTTGCAGCATCTCCAGGGTCTTGTGATTTACATTCAGATGCTTGGCAACTGATTCATATTTATGATGGTCACAGTGTCCCAGGGTCATGTGAAGTGACCAAAACCTGCTGCAACCACCCAGCAGACAGAGTAAAAACCAAATATCCACACACACACACCCCCGCTGCCAATCCTCAACAGAAATGCTCACAACAATGAAAACCTTGGACAGGCGGAAGAGCGCCGCCGGGTGGGCAGGCAGGTGTCTTGCTCGGCTGTGGCTTGGGGGGCACTTTTTTCAGTGCTATTGTAACTTCGAACAGTCACTAAATGAACTGTTGTAAGTCGAGGACTACCTGTACTTCATAACTTTTTTCCTTTTTTTTTCGGTCATCAAGTTTTTGACACTTTGTTAGGTGACTGGTGGTACTCGGATATTGCCATATCCTAAAAGTGGTACAATGGATGAAAAGCTTGAAAAGCCCTGCTATATAACACAGATCCTTCCAAAGAGGATACTTGCATTGGCAGTTATATTGAAACCATTTTGAAGGGTCCTTGATGCTCTCTGAGCTTGGTTGTTTTCATGCAGACATTTCATTATTCAAACTAGGTAACATCATCAGTGAAATAATTTGGTCTTGATGAATGCTGGGATTTATAATAACCTGTATTAGCAGGATATTAATTTGTTGTTAGAAGAGTCAGTGGTTATTTGAAACCATTCATGATTAGGGAGAACTAGAATCAAAGTAGTTGAAGACAGCTCACAGGGCTCTTCATACTTAGAAGAACAAAGCATTCCAATATAGGTCTTGGTTTTTTTACCCCCTTTTGTATATTTGCAAGCAAAAAATTGCCCAATGATCCTTAATTGAAAAATGCTGAACTTTTTTTTCTGGATTAGTTCACAGGTGGTCCTTTTTTAAACAATAGCAATTGGACTGGAATTTGTCAGGAAGTGATAATGTGGTTGTGAAGTGGAATGTCGCAGGACCGTGTTGCTTAGCAATGGTGATCCAGGTAGTCTCCTATTGCTGTTAAGTGAGGACCTCACTACTTTCTGCCAGCTTCCAACGAGCAAAGTCAGTGGGGAAGCTGGCAAAAAGTCACAAATTCTAGGCAGCTTGCAAACGGCAGATGGGTGGCTGATGCAGCACAACCAAACATAGGGCGACTGCTCTGGATAGAACACAGGCAGTTGCTGCAGCTTAGCACAAGTGTGGCCAGGGGCAAGCAGGTGCTGCAGAATTGGGAGAAAGTAGCAGAAGCCATTCCTGCCGGCTTCCCCACTGAATTTGGTTGTGGGAAGGCGACAAGGAAGGTCACACGTGATCATGTGACTGCATGGGTACTGGGACAAACGGAACTTCAAGGACTGATTGTAAAAACCACTCATTCAGTCCCATCATAACTTTGAACAGTCCCTGAACAAGTTGTTAACCAGGATTTTCTGGAATGCAATCTATAGCCAGAGGTTGGAGAGACCATAGATAAAATTACTATAAAACAATAAAGATAGCCTAGTAGCAGTAGCTTTGGCAATAGAACAATTGGTTATGTGTATCTAGAATGTTTTAGATTAGAAAGTATAGGAGCACTATTTCCATAGACTTGGCAGATTTGGTTTGTTAATAAAAGCAGTTTTTGAAAATTTATGTCTGTAACCCAGCAAGCTGAACACTTAAAATGTCTCTGGTATTTAGTCATAATAGCAGCTTTTTATATAATAATGTAATTAATGATATTTAATTTCTGGAACTGAGCAATAACTATATTAAGTCATACTAGTGTTCTAATTCACATGTATGCCTGTAAGTTGACATTATAACACAAGATAAATCTGTTGAAATGTACATTTCTTTATTTTTTTTTTGACAGAAACCATTTGCAGGGGAAGTCTGTCAGTTAGACAAATCTGAGGAAGGTGGCTATCCATCATGGCTCTTGACTTGTAGCCCACAGTCACCCTCAGCTCCTTGCAGTCCCATTAATAATTGTATCCAGGTGCTCAGTGAAAGTGAAGAGGAGGAGGATGAAGAAGAAGCAGCAGCAGTACAAGCAGCAAGACAAATAAATTGGAATTTAGCAAGCAAAAGGACACTCTTCCAACCAGACTTTAGTGATCTGGATCTAACTTTGATTGAAGAGAACTAGCATTTGGATGTCTCCTTGAAAAACTGACTTTGGAGTCAGCAGCAAAGGGAGGCTGCACTCCTGGATGAGGGTTGGGGGAGCAGGGTTGGGGGTAGAAGGGAAAATGGCGGTAGGATAACGGGGTTTTGTCTGCTTGTTTCTTTTGTATTAAAAGAGAAAATAAAAAGAAATTGCTAAAGGGAGTTGTATGTCTCTAAGATGGGATCATAAAGCCTGTCAAACGTTAGGAAACAGGAAAAAAAAAACCTTTATTGGCAATTTTACAAATTTGCTTCTCTTGGCAAGCTTTTTTGTCTGTCCCAGATCACAACACTAAGAGACCTTTATTTAAAAAAAAGAATATATATATACTTAATAAAGTCCTACATATAAGAATAACGATTGATTTTTTAAAATTAAAAATACAGTGATAATCGTAATTTGAAATCATGTTACAATCCTGTCGAGTGTTTTTAACTGGATGAATCTTCATCTACATTACTTGTCAGAACTCTAATCTACAGCCGAATATAGGAAGATATTAAACTCAGCATTTGTTTTTCTCTATGAAGAACTTTTCCAAAAGCATTTTGCCCTTAGCTTTAGAATTCAAGAAATATCATCCTGTTGTCTGACAATAAAGCTTTATCTTATTCCATTGAAAAGAATTAACATTTTCCTCTGTCTTTCTAGTCAAATAAAAAAGTACAGCTGCCAGACATAGGAAAATATACATGTAAACAACATGGGAACAGTTTTTGAATGATGTTTTATGTGATCTCTCAAACCTGTGGCTTCGTTATTGAATGAAAAGGAATGAAAACAAATGTATTTTAACACACCCTTTCGCATGAAATGTGTATTATATATATTTTATTTAATTAGAGGGGGAAAAATCAACTTATATATGTAATAATCCTACAAGATTGTTATGTATAAATCCAATAAGTTCAAATCTTCCTCTAACGAAACAGGATTCTATTTGGCACGGCTGTGTAAGCCCTAGCGCTCTAATTAATATTTTTCAACCCTATGTAGCTTTATCACCCACACAAATAAATACCGGATTCTTTGCTGCGGTAAAATTAAAACAAGGCAAAGAAAGGCAGAAGACGAGGTATTGCTGATATTACTGACATCACCAGATGTTTGCTGATCGTTTTCCACGGAATCCGCATTTATTATGACTCGAGAGCGGACCGGAAGCGTGGGAACTTTCAGAAGCGACTCTATGGTTGCAAGAGCCCGACACGCTCCCGTCGGGCCTGTGCCGGGAATCTGGTTTTCCTAGGCCCCAGCCCTTCCGTTTCCGTTTTGGAGGCCGGTGCTTTTGGGGGGGGTGGGGGGAAGAGCGGCGACGGGGAAGAGACAGCCGGAGGCGGCGGCAGCAGCAGCAGCAGCAGCGACAACGGGATCCTGTGGCGCATCGGACGAGCCGGCCAGGCTTTCCGCCCCTCCCAACTTCAGACTTAGGAGGCCCAGGCCGCCGCCGCCGCCGCTGCCGCCAGTTTTCGGCGGGGACGAGTTCGCGTGTTCCGCTTAGCCAGTCAGGCTTCAGCTTCCGTAGCTCTCTCTCGCTTTCTCCCGCCTCCCTCCCCCTCTCCTGCCCAGAGTCGCCCGGGCCCATTTCGGTGTGTCCCATGGACAGGCACAAAGTGAAGCGCCAGAGGCTGGACCGCATTTGCGAAGGTAAACTTCCCGAGCGTCGGAAGGAGGGATGATGGCAGGGCGGCAAGACTCGCTTAAACCCGCGTGTCGGAAGCTGCGGTAGGATTCGGACCTCGTGTCCCGAATTTCTCTCCACGTGGTGTGGTGACAGAAGGTCGCTCTCGTGGAAGCGTTTGCGCCCGCCTGCCTGTGCTGTAAGGCGTCGTGAGCCGACCCTTTCTTTGAAAATGTAGGATCCTCGAGTTATGACCCGGTCCGTCCACGGAGATGCCCAGATTGCACCGCCAGTCCCGACCCGTTACATAAAAACCGCGGTCTGCATCCTCTTTCCTTGGTGGAGGCTGCTACTCTACTATCTCAGCTCTCGTGGTATCCCGTGAATAGCCTTATGATTCCCACTTGACAGAAGGGGGGAAAACGTCTTATAGTGTTTTTTAAGGTGACCCAGTATGTCAAGTGTCTTTTTTAAAAGATACCGTAGATCATTATTATTTGCCATTGAAAAGCACAAACGTTTGTTTTCTCTATTAATGTCTATCCTCTGGTTTCTTGCAAATGGTTGCAATGTGTCGAAAAAGTTTAGCCTTTAGCCTTTTAATCTAAACTAGTTTCCTGCTGTCTAAAGCACGTTTGAATTGCCTGTACCTTTTTATCTTTCACCCCTTTGTATTAAGTAGTAGGAATTGAGGACCAATTGTTTTATTTTTTTTATTTCTGTGGAACATTACTTCTATTTATATATTGTATATCACATATAGCATATTTATATATTATACTTTAAGGCACCTAGCTGAAGTTTTCTGGACAGATTATGAAGCTGTTTTAAAAATAAAACTCTGGGTAATATTATGATAAAAACTAATAAAACTGCCCCTGAAGAAATAAACAAAAAGTAAATGAATTAAAGGAAGCAAATTAATCTTGCTTTGAACTGAAGCCTAAATGATGCTATGCAATGATACGTACATAGAGATGTATGATGTTAAGTTTTGCTCAATTTGGTGGTATTTACTTCACACAGAAGATGATAATTACACTTGCCCCTTACGATGTTGAGAGAAAGCCATTAGTGAATACAAGGTGATTCAGGTCCCTGCATCCTCTTCTGATTCTAACTTTAGACTTTTATGCCCAATGAATGCCTTCTTCTTAGGGTGCTTGCTTGGAACAGAAGCACAACATGCCAAAGTGTCTTCATTTCCCAATAGGTTTCTGTTTGGCTAACAAGGCCAACCAGAACTTGTGGACTCTTGCTCTGAGAATTATTTCATTATTGCTAGGGATTAGAAGGGTTTTCTGTACTTTATTTGGGGCTCAAGTTGTATTTATTGTATATAAACTTGTTATGATATATATATTTGGGTAAAGGTGTCACACTTATCTAAGGTTTGCTAAATCATGGTTCATTGCATAAATACAATTGGCTAGCGATAGAAGAGAATATTTGCAGCTCAAGGCTGAAGTACGGGATCCTTGGTGCCCTTTGAGCTTGGTTGCTTTCTTGTAGACATTTTACTACCAAACTAGGTAACATCAGTGCTAGTACTACAATTGGCTAGGCTTATAACATAATTATAAGTCATAATCATAATTTACCTTACATTACGCTCACACATCATGTTAAAACCAATATGTTGGAACTTTATGTGAACTATGGACTCAATTTCCATCTTTGAGTTATATTATTGTTGGGAAGACTAGTATATTATCTTGAAACATTTGTGCATTTCTGTTGTGTTTTCCATCATTATTTCCTTAGGTAGGGGAGAATAAATTAAATTATTTTTTGGATGTAATAACCATTTCTTATGTGGTTCTTAGGTGTCTTTTGCTATTCAGGTTTGAAAGCACATAAAATACTGAAAGGTTGATAAAAGATATTTGTATGCACGGTTACAACTATCCCATTCCCCACAATTGTTAAAAATATGTTAGAATTATTAATTTAGTCAATATATGCACATAGATATGGGTAAGTACCTTCCATATTATTGTTTTTTTTTCTGAAACATTTAATTTTTAAAGCATTGCTAGGTGCTATTGGCTTATTTGTTCGGTAATTTCTATTCTGACTTCAGCAATCCTCAAGGGTTCCAGATAAGAATATTCTGTTTAAAATATAAAGATACAAATATAAAGATTCTCTGTATTAGGCAATAATAATGTTTACTGCATAAAATACTTCTTTATGAAGGCAGTAATATGCTGAAAAATAATAATGCTGAAAAATCACAAGTTGCTTATCTATGGACCAATGCATTCTTTGAAAACTCAATTTAACAAATGTAGGCCCATGATAACTCAGGCCCATAACTCATTTAGAAATTTATTTGAAACAATATCATTTCATTCATTTTGTAAATTTCAAAAATGTATAACTTAGACCAGCAAATATTTTGAATATTCTGAAAGGGTGTTATGAGATAAAAGTTACAAGATATGAGGAATGAGATTTTACAAGAATACACACACACACACATATTGTGAATCAGTTCTGTAAAATAATTGATGGTACTTGACCATGTAATATATAACTGTGTTTTATTATTATATTTTTTAAAAGAGGTATCTTTCCCAATCTTATTGGAAGAATGGTAGAATTTGAATTTGAGATCTTTTGCACTTATAAGAAGCTCTCTGTCAGTAATTAATACTGTTCCTGAATTTTTCCCAGCACTTTATATATTGGATTGACATAATTGATTTGTAATGGGGCTAGTAGAAGAATACTTTTCATTTTTATTTGTGGGTGAATAATTCTATTTTCTTTTATAGGTATAAGGCCTCCTATTGGTAATGGTCCAATGCCAGCTCGTCCATTGGTTGCCCTCCTTGATGGCAGGGATTGCACTGTAGAAATGCCTATCCTGAAAGATGTTGCCACAGTGGCTTTCTGTGATGCACAATCAACTCAGGAAATCCATGAAAAGGTAAGATTTACAAAAAGAGGGAGGAAATTTCACTTTCCAATGAAAAAATGGGTGAGTTGATTCCAGAATTCATAAAATTTTGCTTTGAGAGCTAGCCATTATTTGTAGTTGCTTTCCACCCTCATTTTGAACCAAATTCTATGGAAACCAGTGGGAACTTAAAAGAACTCAGAAGGGGTGGTCCTTTGTCTAGCAGTTTTTGCAGAAAACGCATACTGCACTTTGCTACTCTGCTTAAGTATGAAAGGCCAGTGGGAAGGGAGAGAAACAGTTCTTTCTCTCTTTTCTGTGAAATTAAAAGGACGTGAAGGAAAAGAGTGATGGTGTTTGTCCTTTTGTAGAAGCAATTATATTCTCTTTCTGTCTTTCACATTCCATTCCTTTCTTGGAGTACTTTGCAGTTCATTGAACAGCAAATAAAGTGTCGATCAGAAGTGGAAGGCTGAATAATAAGTGAGGTTGTAGAATTCTGAGCTTACTAGTTCTAAAGCTATGGAGTAAGCATTATTCTGTTGTTCTATCTTCCTCTAGGTTCTAAATGAAGCTGTTGGGGCTCTGATGTACCACACCATTACCTTGTCGCGCCAGGACCTGGAGAAGTTCAAAGCTCTCCGGGTCATTGTGCGAATTGGCAGTGGCTATGACAATGTGGATATCAAGTCAGCTGCAGAATTAGGTATGGTGATCCCAGTGCAATTAAAAAAAAAAAGGAATATTGGAGAGTGGGTGGGTAGGGAGTACATCCTTCCTCTGAATTTAATTTTGGGGTTTGGGCTGAATTTACTAAAAAATAAACAAATTTCTGAGAGGCAAGTGAAGTATTTCCTATTATTAAGATAAATTTGCAAACCTTCCCGTTGTTATTTAAAATAATTTTACATTGTTTTCATAAGAACATTAATTGTTTTAAGCTATTATCCTTATATTGGAAATAGAGAATTGAACTGAAAAATAGTTACTTGGCTAAAAATATACAGCATGGCTTGAAACCCATAAATATGATATGTTTATGCATGAATATAAATGGAGCCCATGTATTGTCTATACTGTACACAGTTTCATCAAGCAAGTGATTGGTTGCTTTCTTTGTTTTGAAAGCAGTAATGTAACTCTTTAGTCTTAAAATCTTTTTATTTCCAGATAATTTGTGCTGATTTATATTATTTTTTTAAGTATGTATTAAAATGAGATCTACATTCAGATAAACTGGGATTACTAAATTCAGATAATTGAATCAATTTGATATAACTGAAGAAAGAAAAGTATAATTTAACATTTCATCAATTTGCTTGTCTCAGTATTTGAGAGGCTGATCTTTTTTTTAATGTAAAGTTTTATTAGTTTATAATATACGATACAATGAAAATACAAAAGTAGATAGTGGAAAACATGGGGAAGTGAAAAGGGAGTAGAGAAGTAAGGTAAGGGAGAAAAAAAAGGCATTGACTTCTGACTTCCTTTGGTGCAGTAAAGTCGAGCGTCAAGTTCAAAATCTCAATTTTTTACTTTTACAAAATAATATAAACGAGCAATTTCAATAACATCAAATCTATCTAATTGATAAAACCCAAAATCAGAATTTCATTTTTTCCACCTCAAGCACAAAGTCTAGAAGCGGTTTCCCCAAGGGAATAAAAGGATTCGTATTCTTTTCTTGAATCAGTACAGTCAGTTTAGCCATCTCTGCTAGCTCCATCAGTTTTTGTAACCATTCCTCCGTTGTGGGAATTGATGTAGTCTTCCATTTCTGAACGTAGAGTAGTCTTGCTGCTGTCAACATATATAACATCAAAGTTCCATATATTTTTTCCAGGTCTTTGTCCATTAGCCCCAATGGAAAAGTCTCTGGTTTTCTTTCTATATTCACTTTCAGAATTTTCTGTATTAACATTTGAATCCTATTCCAATATTTTCTTGCTTTATCACACACAAAGTCCCCTATTTACCTTTACATTTCCAACATTTGAAATACCTTTATACATTTTTGATAACTTGTCTGGTGTTCAGTACTAACGGTACATCATCTTGTAAAATTTTTCTTTTAAATTATAATTTAATGTAAATTTTAATCCTCTATTCCACATATTTCCCATTGTTCAAGCATTGTATTATACCCAAATTCCTTGTCCACTGAATCATACAGTGAGTATTTGAGAGGTTGATCTGAAGAAGTTTCTAATTTCTTTAGGTCCAGATTTCTAGTCAATACATCTTTTTGGTACTGAATTATTGAGATTCTTTTGAATGTTTGTTTGAGCTTCAAGTTTATACTTTCTTGAAATGAGAATTTTGAAAAAACAATAATATTTCCAAGTTATGGTATGCTTGAGGAGAAACAGTTCTTTACTGTGAGAAGTAATTTAACAACAGATACTGTAGAAAGTCCTTTGACGTTCAGTCAATTAAAATAATTTCAAGAAGCAGGGCTAGGAAGACTCTGCCAGGATAAAAGAAATTAGATGAACCTATCATTTGAGCAGTGTAATGCAGCCAACAGCCCTATGCAGGTAATCAGCCCTGCAATCTAATAAAAGTTACCCGCTCTTTTCCTAGTAACTGTTAAGACAGACAGCAGGAGAGAGTAGATTCTGTGGAAGCAGAAAGGAAAAGAAGAATGAGGGGTTGGAGGAACTTGTGTAACATCTAAAAGGAAGAGGGACTATAAGTTTGTAACTATTTGTTGAAAAGGAAGTTGGAAATCATATTTCTTAACCTTATTATTTCCCCCCCCCTTTTTCATTTCTTTCCTTTTGTCTTTGAATTCTCTTTTTATTCTATGAAAAATACTTAATAAATATAAATTTTTAAAAAGATAAAGGAAAAGAAGGCTCATCCACTAATGGTGTGTGATTCTCAATAGATTACTTCCGAGGGAATATAATTGGCGGGCAAAATAAAGCTTCTTATCTTGGCCTACATAAAATTCAAGTACAGGATCAGATTGATATCAAAATGCTGAGATTATATCGCAGTCGGTAAAATGTATTATATGTTCCCATTTCCTTAGGCATTGCAGTATGCAATATCCCTTCATCTTCTGTAGAAGAAACAGCTGATTCTACCCTCTGTCACATCCTAAACCTTTATCGTCGGGTTACATGGCTTCACCAAGCCATGCGGGAAGGAAACAGAGCCTCGAGTATGGAGCAAATCAGAGAGGTGGCTGGTGGGGCTGTACGTATCCGTGGTGAGACCTTGGGCATCATTGGCCTTGGTAAGCAGCAGTGCTTTTGAATAATGCAGTTAGCTTGGATGATGTTCTAGTGCACTGGTGGCGAACCTATGGCACGCGTGCCAGAGTCGGCACTCAGAGCCCTCTCTGTGGGCACATGCGCCGTCGCTCCAACCCTGCCTCCCCCTGCGGCCCCCTCATCAGCAGCCCCCCCGGAGGAGAGTCACCCCCGGGGGCAGAGCAGCGCAGCCAAGCATATGGCAGCTGGGCAGCAGGGACAAGACTCTGCCCTCGTGCCCCGTCGCGCGCAGATGATGCGGGGCACGGATGGAGGGCGTGGCCACCATGGCGCTGCAGGGTCGCCTGAGTGATCTTTAGCGGGCCGTGGAGGTGGTAGGTGGCCTGGCAGGTGGGGTGGGAACAGGGCAGGGCAGGGGTGGAGCGGGCGGGGCGGAGCGATGGGGGTGAGGGGAGGGCGTTTTTTGGGCACTCGGTCTCTAAAAGGTTCGCCATCACTGTTCTAGTGTGACAAAACATTCAAACATTTCAGTTTCTGTATTTCTCTTGTGTACTTGTTGCTTTTCTACTTTCATGACTTGGAGGAATCCATCGCATTCCATTTAATCTGGTAGCAAAGTTAGGATGTGTGCTTACTCTGAAAGCCACAATTAGAAAAGCTGTTTGTTGCAGGTGAGAGAAAGATTGAAGATATAAATCCAGTCCTCCTTAACTATTTCTTAGAAATCTGATTGATAGGTTATGTGCCATAATTGATTCTTAGCGAACATGTAGATAAACTTGCTCCATGATCAATCTGTTCCTAACCTTGTCTTAGAAATTTGTCACACCTGAATTATTTTATTGAACATGCTCTTCCAAGGTTATGGAGCCAATTTAACATAATTCATAATGTGCTAATGCTTAGATAACCAGACAAACAGTATAATAACTAATACCTAAAAGTGTCAGGTATACCCAAGTACTGGAATTCTTGGATTTAAGAAGGAGAGCACTGAATTGAAAGAGTTAGAGAATAAATAATAGAGATGTGCACAACTTAACAGCTGATTAAAGAATTGAATATTCTCTTTCCAAATCAGTGTATTTTGCACAACTCTGGTGAGTAGGCATTGTGCTGAATGCGTGTATTTTTTCTAAATTGAAGATATTCTTTTGTCATTAAAGTAGAGGAGAACACTAGCTGTTCTCTCTTAATAACTGTATTGTTTTTAAATAAATATGTGACTATTTTGCACATTTGGGACCATTAGACAACTTTGAGAGCACTTATGTGGAAATATCTTCCCTTTTTTCTCAGACCTGAATAGCTGCACATCCAAATTGGACTGCAATTATTATTTCTATTTACTGTACTTTTATTTCTCTCAGTAACAGAAACTCTGTTGTGCTCAGCATTTTTCACCATGGCTTCTCCTAGGTGATAGAACCGTAGCTCAGTTCTGTATTAAAACCCAAAATGTTTCCTCATTCATTAATGCACATCCACAATAAACAGAAATCCTCAAACATAGGCAACATTTAACTGTTCCATAGAAATACAAAAAGTTACAAGCACACATGAAAAAGGCAACAGTCTTATCTCAGAAAAAGCAAACACCATCCCAAGAGATAAAACACAAACATCATTAAAGATCCCTAAATATATGCCCTCCCCCACCACAGATATTCAGGTAAATTGTCTCACCCCCCGCCCCCCAATTATTCCTACAAATATATAAAACTCACCTTTACCATGACTAGAATATTAAAGATATGTCAAGCGTACTGGCAGAAGAAGTTGGAGAAAAGCAAGTTAAGCATTGGGCAGCTTATGTTTATTTTGTCTAAAACAAATCCTGTCTTAGTATTAAGTGGAAATGCAACCAGTCCCTAATGATGAGCTTAAGATTCCCATCTTTTCTTTTTCTAAGGCCGAATTGGGCAAGCGGTTGCCTTACGTGCAAAACCCTTTGGTTTCAACGTTATTTTTTATGATCCTTATTTGCCTGATGGAGTGGAGCGTTCCTTGGGATTACAGCGGATGGCCACCTTGCAAGACCTCCTAATGCATAGTGATTGCATCACATTGCACTGTAGTCTAAATGAGCATAATCATCATCTCATCAATGACTTCACCATTAAACAGGTACAGCTTTACCTTGAGCAGGGCATACAAATTACCGTCATGCAAATTTCAGGAAAGTAATGCCACGTGCAGGTTTATACGTAGCAATTGAATTGAATTGAATACTTTATTTGGCCAAGTGTGATTAGAAGCATAAGGAATTTGTTTCTGGTGCAGAAGCTCTCAGTGTACATGCAAAGTGACAGAATAATGATCATCATCATCATAATACCAATACAAGGCAGGAGTAAGAAAGATAATAATACTACAGCCATGCTATGTGGGAAAATATAGATAGATATTAGGCAGCACTGTGAGAATTAGGTCTTCAGCAGAGTGATGGCCTGAGGTTTTAAGCATATTCAGCTTCATATTGTTACGGCTACATCAGAGGGCCAGTTCTTCAATCTCCTGCTGATGAAACAGACCACACACATTTTTTTCTAGATTGCCAGAAGTGGGGGGCCTGGAGGGATTAAGATACTTATTGGTGGTGTATTTGAGGTGGGGTAGGAAGTGGCAGATGATGGTGATCTCCTCTCAAACCTACAGTAGAACACATTCAGGTCATCTATACCAGGGGTCTTCAAACTTGACCCTTTTATGACTTGTGGACTTCAACTCCCCAGAATTCCTCAGCCAGGCATGCTGACCCCTGATCTATACCTTTAATTGCACTTTTAATTGGACCCAGAAGCAAACTGGCAACCAGGGCAGCTCATGAAGCAGAGGTGTTCCAGAAGCATTCCGAAGCATGAATATTACTCATGCTGGCACATTCTGTGGACCAATTGATATTTTTGGATGGCCATTATGGCAACCCCATATAGAGAACATTACAGTAGTCAAGGTGTTAGGTGACTAGGGCATGAATGACTGAAGTCATTCTAGGACTGGCTGAAGTCTGATCTAGGAAGTCGTGCAAAGGCCTTCCTAGCTTCCTAGCTATTCTTCAAGCAGGAGTCATAAGTCCAGCAAGCCCCCCAATTTGCTTACCAACCTTGAGGGGGAAAGTGCAAACCGATCAAAGAATATCTTTTCATCTGAGTGATTCAAACACCCACAGCCATTTAGTCTTGGTAAGATTAAGTGGGAGATAGTTCTTCCCCATCCAAACCCCTACACCCTCTAGGCATTGGGACATCTCGCAGCCTCACTTGGGTAACGCAAAGTTGAAAAATGCAATGGGGTATCATCAGCATACTGATGGTACTAAACCCAAAACCAGCAGATGAGTTCATCAGCAGTGTCATGTAGATGTTGACAAGGAAAGGAGAGAGAGAATAGAACACTGTGGCACTCACCAGCAGGGCCCCAGGGAATGATCTCTCCCCTCACACCAGATAAAATAGGAATCTTGAGAAGCCTTCTGCAACAAATTTGCAAGGCAGAAATGCACATGTAGCTCAAAACCTGACACTATTTTGGTACAAATCTGGGTGAGGCTTTGAGTTGGATGGTCCTGGTTTCAGTCAATGCGTTCTTAGGTCTAGATAGCTACAACTTTCATCCTTTTTGTTTCTGAAATTTATTATTATTATTATTAAAATTTATTTATTTGCCATCCATCTTGCAGTTCGAGACCACATTTAGCTGGAATGGTTGGATTCATTGATGAGTCCATCAAATAGATGATCTTCCTTTGAGACTTACGATGATGCCCATATTCTTCAAGGAATTTGTAATCAATTACTCTATTAAATAGACAATAACATCATATTAGGTCTTCAAGCATTTCCTGCACCATGGTTAAAAGCAATGTCACACGGTCGCCAATTGTGACCTCCTGCCAGTTTCCCTACTGACTTTGCTTGTAGGAAACCAGCAAACAAGGTCACAGATAGCAATCACATGACTGCAAGATGCTGCAGTTTGCAATTCTGAGTCAGATGCCTTGATCATGATCACGTGACTGCAGGGACACTGCTTTTGTCTGAAGTACAACCGGTAGTCAATGCATAAGAGCAAATAACAGCTACCAGTATAACGATTCAAATGATCAACAAAACCATCAGGTTTTAAGGGATTTACAAAAGACAAGGAGGCTTGGTGTGTTCTCCATCTTGTGAGCAGGGTATTGTACAACATGAGAACAACTACAGAGAAAGCATGTTGCTAAGTCCCCTGTCCCCTCACTTTATGTGAAGTGAGTATTTTTAGAATCTTTCCCTGAAAGAAAACACACAGAGCAGACCAGATCTTGATGGGACAAATAAGTTGGTATAATGGATTCTTCTGATCAGGAGAAAAACTGACAAAATGTAGTTCTTCTGAGATTTTGTTAGTATATAATACTATTGACTGGATATCGTACTGGATAACTATCATTTTTTGAGAAATGATTCTGTTCATAAGTGCAGAATTGTTTCTAAAAGGTTGTACTGAGTTGTTTTATGCTTGGTTCCTGATAAGTGGTCTAAAAGTTCTGTTCTACCTCTGATAGTTTTTAACTTTTTTATAAAGCTGTTGAGAGAGATCATTGAAAGAATTAGGATGTTTTCATTGTCATTTGAATTATAGAAACCATATAGGTGCTAGATAAATTTTTGAAGACAACAGTGGGTTGTATGAGGGCACAAATTTCAACTTAATTCTAATCTTTGACAGATAATTTTCAGATCTAAGAAGCAGGGAGATAATCTGTTGCGAATGGGAGTGCAGTACTCTTAAAAGAGAAGGTGTGCACATTTGGGACTTTCTTGATTCAGTTTTATCACAGAGACACAAGTGGCCTCAATAATAGAGAATACCCTTTCCCAGTGTTGGCAAATGTGAAGTTGTCAGTCCTCTGACATAGATTGCTATCAGCCCATTTATTTTGGGGTATTCATGAAAATGATCCTGAAAATATAGTTGGTCTAAACTGGAACAATCAGGACACTGATAAATTATAGGTGTTAGAGATCCTATGATACTGAACCCAAAATGGGCCTGTTAAATGGGCCCGATTCAAGATGCTGATTCTGGATTACAAAGCTTGAAACATTTTGGGATCTGTTATGTGAAAAATGATTCACTCTGTACATGTCCATCTTTATTTTTGGAACATCGGGAAAATTCGTTTTGTGCAAATCTTTGTATTTTTGAGGCACAGGCAGTCCCCTAGTTAAGAACAACGGACTTAAGGACAACCCCTAGATAGCAACGCGCTGTCTATTATTAAAAATGGCGGAGAGCATTCTCCTTCCTGGAGCTGACAAACTGTTGAAGTTGTGCAATACTTTAAGGCTGCTGAAACTGCATATTGTTAATATATAGCCTGTTTGCCGAAATTTTTAGTGATTTCTTTAAAAACAGAACAATTTCAGCAGTTTCTCTGCCCAAGGAAGGACGATGCTGTCCATCATTTTTAGTACTAGTCTGTTTGTAAACACGAGTAAACGGTCTGTTTGTAAACACGAGTAAACACGAGTAAACGGTCTGTTTGTAAACACGAGTTCTGACTTACATAAAAATTTGGGTTAAAGACAGGAACAGAACTCTGTTCTGAACCCAGGGACTGCCCGTGGTATATATTTGTTTTTAAATAAATGTGTGAAAAGTTCAGTCCATTGGAACAAATGTGTCGGGATTTATGGAGGTTTTTATTCATGCTTGTTGCCTTGACACTCCTTATTCATATAAGTCACCTTTAGTTTGAAAAGAATAGGAGCAAGGTTTCGATAAGCCCGATTAATTTCTATACTGCATCACCTGGGGCCTTTGTATAATGGCAAGACACCAATGAATTAAATGAGTAAATACATTTGAATTTTAGAATAATCGTTTTCATAATACTGTTTTAAGTGCAATAATTGAATCTCGGTGGCCCTTTCTGTATTTTTTCCTATATAGATGCGTCAGGGCTGCTTTCTGGTGAATACGGCGCGTGGAGGTCTGATTGAAGAGAAGGCCCTGGCTCAAGCCCTAAAGGAAGGGAGGATCAGAGGGGCTGCTCTTGATGTGCATGAGTCAGAACCTTTCAGGTAACCGTTACGCTATCGGGCCTTTGTCAGTTTTCAATAGGATACGTATCTCTCTGCATCTTAGAGCCACCAGCGATCATAATCCAAAACATGCCTGTTTCTCTACATCACAGTTTTGCTAATGGGCCCCTAAAAGATGCTCCCAATGTGATTTGTACTCCTCACACAGCCTGGTACAGTGAACAGGCTTCTATTGAGTCGAGAGAGGATGCGGCTAAGGAGATCCGAAGAGCCATCACAGGTAATTGAAAAACCCCGCTCTGTAGTTGCTTCCCAAATGACTTCACTGCACTAGGTCTGTGTAATAGCAACAGGTTGTGCACCATTTTGTGTGCGACCAAATAATAAGTACTTTTTTTAAAAAAAAAATTGATCTTCCTCTGATCAATTGTGTTTTAAGTGCCATGGTATGTATGGACTCTGCTTTTTTGATCCCTAGTTTTGAATGTGGATATTTTATTTTTTCAAGTCACGAGGTTCCCCCCCCCCGATCTGTTTATGTGCCTATATAGTCTTCCTTGTCTTCCTTTCAGTGACCATTCTAAATCACTGTTTCTTGTTGTCTTTGGCAGTAGGAAAACAGTAATCTGAAGTAACTGACTAGGATATTGCTTTATTCCATATTATTAATGGCAGAAGGAATAAAAGTGCAATCTCCTTTGAGTCAAGCTTGATTCTTGGTGATTTTTTTAGACACACAGTTTTCTTACAAGAGATCCACAGTATCTTCTATCTAGGATATCTTTATTTCCAAGATTCATTTACAGCTCTGGATATTCTCCCATCCAAATTCCAATCAGGCTTGATGCTGCTTAGCTTCTAGGCCCAGAGAAAGTCAGCCAGGTGCTACCAGCAGAGAAGCAAAAGCTTTTTCCCAATGGCATTTTCTTGTGCTGATCAGTTACAGCTCCAAAGTCCTATGTAGTTCTTGAGCTTCAGATTGCTTTTTTATAAAGGTTTTTTTTAAAACCTATGGGTAACAGTAGGAGTTGCATACCTGTAGGATTAAAGCAAGAGTGAGCAGGCCTGCACCACTTTCTAATCTCACACACTTCATTCGTAGAGAGATGCATGTCCATTCTTTTTCTATATCTCCCTCCCTCCATCCCACCCCTTTGAAACAATTGTGGAGAGTTAAGAGTCAAGCTTTTTTTATTAATAATACAAAATTAAAAACACATTGGACATAGATATGACGTCACTGGTTCCATACATCTTCCAACATTTTACAATAGTATTAGTACTCATATAGACATATGGTTCTTGAACTTTGCTCACTATTTATAATATACTATTAACACTTTTTCCCTTATTTCTATATATCTATTTATCTTTTAAATATACATTTGTCTATAATCTATATTTTATTCTAGCACTATACATTTATCTTGGCTACCCTCTTATTGTCTATCCAATCATAAAATTGTTCGCAGATTTCATAGTACTTGGCTTCACTTTTGTCCTTGAGTTCCCATGTAAGTCTATCCATTTCAGCGCAATTGAAAATTTTTAATAATATTTCCTCTTCGGTTGGAGTATCTTTCTCTTTCCATTTTTGAGCGAAGGCTATTCGTGCCGCTGTTACTATATGCAGTAGTAAATAATTTGTGTCTTTCTTATATATTTTTTTTTATAATTCCCAATAAGAAAAATTCCGGTTTGGCTTCTATATCTATTTGCAAAATTTCTTCCAACCACTTCTTTAATAAGTTCCAAATTTTTTTGTGCCTTTGGGCATTGCCACCGCATGTGGTAGTAATTCCCAATGGTCGTTAAGAGTCAAGCTTAACTATATGCAGAAAACGATTTGCAGAGTTCACAGTGCATCTGGAGAGAAAAATGAATTTTTGCCTTTTTAGCTGTTAAGCCCCCATTTTGGGTACAATAATATCTTTTTAAAAAAAAATTAAAATCTTCTATTTGTTCTACCGGACATTAGAAGTGTAATTACTGGAAGGAGGGGAGAAAAGAAAATCATGAGCCAGAGGTATGTATCCAGTTTTGAACTTACTGCTGCTTTGTAGGGAATGACCATTTGGGCAGTAGTTTTAAATATATTGGTCTAATAAGACACATAGCAAGGGATCATTTTATGGTTCTTATTTTCCAGAGAAAACTCAAATTATTCATGTGAGCATGATTTGCTGTGTATTTTTTTTCTTTGCTTTGTTGAGGAACTTTTGATACGTTTTGGAATACATATACATACACAAGCATGGATATTGGCATAACCTTTCTCTTCGTTTGTGGACTTTGACATAGGTCACATACCTGATGGTTTGAGGAACTGTGTTAACAAGGAATACTTGCTTTTAGCGGCTCAGTGGTCTGGCATTGATCCTGCAGCTGTACATTCAGAGCTTAATGGAGCTACAGCTTACAGGTGAGATACATACATCTGAATTTTTAGCAGTGAAATTGTAAAAGGAATGCTTATCAGAGTGACTTTCAATTACCATACGTTTTCTTCTTACGACAGGTTTCCTCCAGGAGTAGTAGGCGTAGCCACCTCTGGGCTACCGGAGCCACCAGTTGAGGGAATTGTAGCTCACAGCATCCCCTCTGTGTCTCACTCTGCACCACACACTCCTTCTCCAGGAGAGTCAAGCAAATTGGAGCCAGACAGAGAAATCTCCACTGACCAGTAGCACCTCTCTTGTCTTATTCAGCCCTTAACATAAAACAGGGAAAGTCTCCTGTTTTTAGGACATATTGTGACACCCCCTCCTCTCCTGGACTGCTTCCTCAATGGACAGGAGAATGCATTTCATTATTGGCAAATTCTAGCTTTTGCCTTTAAACAGGTATTTTTATAATGAATTTAGTTTAAATCTCTTGGTGAATCTCTTTCTTTACCTGGGGCAATGAAGTAGTGATTTTTCATTGTTTTGATAATGCTTAGTTTTAACACGCAAATTCGTATGCCCCTGCCTCCCGTGTATGATATAGAGGAAAACAGTACCAAACTGAACAGTACCTGGATGAACACATGAATTCCAGTGATTTCTATGACTGGTGTGGTTTTTTTTAATGTGATTTCTTAGGTTGAGTTATCAGTTATGTCTCAGGTACAAGTAATAAAGACACTGTATTGGGATCGGGTGGGGGGAAGCTGTGCATCTGGATTGCTTGATAGAAAGTAGAGTCCTTGCTCAGTTGTGAGCACTTAACTGCTTCAGTCCTTCCTGCTTGCATTAGCCCGATGTGGTTGTTGAATGATTTGTTCCTGGGGCTCTGGATAAATAATTAAAAAACACAAGAGTGGATGTGGAATGCTACCTGGAATTTGTACGTAAAACATTTACAGAAAATCAGTTGGATTCTTTTAATAGTTAAGTTGCTTGGCGGGTTACGGGAAGGAAGATGGTTGAAGTGAGATTTTGAGCCCAGCTCAGGGAATGAGGACTCGGCTCCACATAGGAAAGTAGGAGGAATTTCAGAGCTCAAGACTTCGTGTTACGGGATGTCTGCGTACAAACAGTGCAAACTTTGCAGCAACAAAAAAGGTAAAATCCTAGAACTTAATTTAGGATTGAAGTCTCTTTGACCTGTCTCTTTATAGCTTCAAAGGCCAAGCTAGGATTTTTCCCTTTGACTTTGTCTAGTGTGAAATGTTATTAGGGATGTGTGTGTCCAGCCTTCATATTTTTTTTTACTCCTACTCTTCTCTGAATTTCTTGCCTTGCAACAAACCAACCAACAGATCTTATTCTCAAGCCAGCAACTAGCTATGCAGATTCTTCCTGAAAGATGCAGTTGTTCTGTTATATGATAGTTTTCTAACTTGAGTGTGTTTTAAATGAGGCATTTAAACCCTATATAGAGGCAGTACTAGGGTATAATTTGTTGGGGGCGGGAGGGGGGGAAATTGCTTTTTCCTTAGCATATTGTCTACACAGCATATATTTCATCATGAAACAAAATATTTATTAATGTTCATATGTATTATTTTTACGTTGTTTGGAATTTTGAGCATGAAACATTATGTTTTTTTTTTAACCAATATTGCTTAAGTATACAGCTAAGATATGAATGGGGAGTGGAGAATGGCAATTCTTCTTTCCTAGGAGTTGTCTTGATTTGCTTTGTGGTGGGTTTTTTAAACAGAATTATCAGTCAGGCAAACTGGAAAAAAGATAAGTAGATACCCACCTACTTCAATCTGTGCTTACAGCTAAAACTTAATAATTGGTTAGCACATTCCCAAACTTCAGATTGTTTTTCAGGCTTAAATGTCAGTGGCTAACTGGCAGGTGCATATCCCCTTTAATATGAGGTGAGATACTAATGGAGAAAAACAAATTAATTTTTATATTGATCATATTCTGATTTTTTTTTTGCTTGAGATGGTATATTCCTTAATATGTGTTATGTTAGAATGTAAGTTGGAAGTTTGATATAGTGTAAGCTCTGATAATTGGGAGGCATAGTTGCTTTATAATGGCATGGATGATTATGATTATGTGTTTAAAATTCAGATACCTCTTGGGATGCTCAGGTTTTTTTAGCAGTATCGGGGGTGGGGTAAATTAACAAGTTAGTACTACATATGTGACAGTTAAGCATAGCGGGCCTTTCGGTGACTCTTCAGTGAATTTTCAGAGAATTTTTATTTAGGGCAAAAGCAACAAAAACATCTTTTTATTGAATCTTTGTACTAAATCTCTAACCAATTAAAAACTGGAATTGGGGTGCAAGCATAATTTAATGCTAGTCCTTAAGAAGGTTGAAGAATCAGGAGTGGTGATGAGATAGCTCACTCCTTTGCCCATCTCTTCATAAATTTTCTATACTTTTCTTTCCCATTCTAAAAAATTAGAAGCATGAAAACATCAATTCTGCATATAAACCAGGATTAATTTTGTTTGGACAACACTGAACCAGCTAAAGATGGCAAAAGGCAAAAGATGCAGCATGCGATGCTGCAGCTTTGCAGATATTTGTGAAACCTCCCTTGAAAAGCTGTGTTCTCAAGCTTAGTAACAGCCTAGTTCAGTTTTAATGGTGTGTACAGTGTTCACATTCCATGCATTGAAGTGGAAAAATTAATTTATGAAGCATTAAAGTTACATAGTTGTTTCCAATAGGCATATTTGAGATGTTTTGTTGTGACTGAGAAGGTGTAAAAACGGAGGATGAGGGAAATGAAAATTAGATTGTAGGAAATAGTAGCCATGGACAAAGAGAACTGTGAAATATAATTGAAGCCCTAGAATGCTATTTTTTTAGTACAACTTCACTAGTTGTTAATACATGAAATTATTGGCTACAACCGTAAAAGGATAAATACTGCATGCTTTAAAAATGAAAGCTGGCATTCTCAGGATATTAAATTCTAATACTAAAGTTTCTATACTTGTATGATGTCAAATACATACTGCCCTGGAGATGAGGAAATAAGTCTTTGTATATTCTTAGTCTGATAATGATGTCTATTTTACTGGCCTCTTTACTACTCATAGCTTATAAAGCTATATCATTGTAGCTTTATAGCTGCTGTTTTAAATTCTAACAACCTATAGGTTCAATGTTACAACCACATATGTCCATTGTTTGCTACAATTATGCCAAAAGGAAGGAATTTGCGTTATGATAGAGTGACACAAGACCCATACTTTTATACTTCCATTTACATCACAATGCACATTTCGTCACTTGCCTCCCTTTGTCCACCCATGGACGCCTATGGTTCCAACTGTAGAAATTTTTGGAAGTAATAGCCCCAGAATCATATTGTGTTTCTAGTACAGTTTATCAGCAACTGCTTTGTTGCTGACTGTTCCTGTCTTTTGTTTTCAAGGTTTCTGATCAAGGTTCCAAGCTGTGGGATTGCTCAGTCTCCTATCTTGCCTGTTCTAGGGAATAGTGTAAGATATACTCACTTCATGGTGGCAGCCTACATTAGTAAGCAAAATATTTTTTACACATGGATACCTCTAAAGATTTATAAGATAAAACCTCCAAAAAGAGAAAAACTGAGAAGATCTCAGCTGGTTTACAGCGGGATGTTTGTTTTGATTAGAAAATATGCTATTTGGCATATTAGAAAAATATTAACAGTAGAAGAGTTGCAACAGTCTCCTATTGCTGGTGGGAAATGATTTAAATATTAAATCCTCAAAAATAACCAGTATTACCCAAACCTATATTTGGGAATTTAGAAATGTTGAGCCTACCAGAGTAGCATTAAATATAAATTCATATCAGGTTTTAGACTTTAGCTAATCAAACCTCTGTTCTAGAAGGCAGGACAGGCTAGGTCTGATTATAAAGTGCTCCAGTTGCACATTGTGATGTTTTTGTTTCTTAGAACATTTGCCACAAAAATGGGTAAAAGTGGACATAAATGCTAAAAGAATTTTCCTCCTGATACCAAACATTATTCAGTGACTCCTTAATGTGTTTAGACATGCAGCTCCCAGCTCCAAATTTTATGCATGCTAAGGAAGTAAGAAATTAGAATGAAAATTCATTTTAAATCTTCCTTCAAAATTAATGTGGAGCTTAATCCCAAAGAATGTCTTTTCATAATGTTATTAAGACAGGAGTGCTCTGGGTCATGCCAAGGTTAATCTGCAAGAGGAGTTCACTCTGTCCTATGGAATATTCTGCTTGTCAGATTTGCTGTTGCTGACCAGCTTCTTTTTATAGAGGACTCAAGAGTTTCAGAAATATATTTTTGTAGACAATAACTAAACTGTGAAACTTAATAAGGCATGTAAAAGCATTTCCAATGTTTTCCTGTACAGATTTTTCTCCCTTCAATTCCCTCTTGGCTTTTGTTAGAAGTTTGACAGTTTCTTGAATATATTTTAATAAATATTTCGTTTACGGTTATGTGGGTCTTCTCATTTAAGTGTGTGGCTGCCTTGACTAGTACTGATGGAATGTGGTATCTTTAAGTATTGTCTTTATTTTCTAATTGTGCAGGTGTACACTTTCTTTTCCTTAAAATGAAAAAGCTAGTAAACCTAAAGATGGGTGAGGATGTAAAATAAACCTGCTATGATTAAAGTGCTGTTGATGAAGGTTCCAGAATAATTAATGGTAAGCTGTAGATGACTATGCAAACATTACGTACACAAACTTCTCTCTTTAAATACGGCATCTTCCACAATTTGTTACAGAAAACTGAGCTTTCTGTTCAAAAATCAAAGTTCACTTTGAAGGGAACGGTAAAGACTTATAGCTGTAATAATGTAAACAAAAGAAATAACAGTTTTTCACAAAGAAAATATTTTACTACCCCAAAAGGTTATTTATACAATCTGGAAAAAGATTCTTTTACACAATTTTGAGAACGTAGAAATGAAGTTTTGAACAGCTACAGTAGGGGGTCTTCAAACTTAGCCCTTTTATGACTTGTGGACTTCAACTCCCAGAATTCCTCAGCCAGGCATGCTGGCTGAGGAATTCTGGGAGTTGAAGTCCACAAGTCATAAAAGGGCCAAGTTTGAAGACCCCTGAGCTACAGCCATAATCTCAATCTTTGGCTTGGTCAGCACATAAAACACTGGTAGTTTCCTGCTTTAAAAATGTGGAGGCTACAGTAGTCATTCCCCACAGTAATTATCCCAGCTAGTTTGGTGTAATGGTTAAGACATGAAGCTAGAAACCAAGAGACTGCCAAGTTCTGGTCCTGCCTTGTGGATGAAGCAGGTGGGGTGACCTTGAGTCAGTTGTCCTGCTCTAGGAAGGAGGCAAGGG